TTTCACATTTTGTCTCTCATAGTTGAGGTCTACCTATGATGTCAATTACAGGCCTCTCTCATCTTTTTAAGTTGGAGAACTTGCACAATTGGTGACTGACTAAATACTTATTTTCCCCACTGTATTTTTCTGGTATAAATCTGCTGTTTTACATGATTGTTGGATGAAATTAACATAATTATTAATTTAAAAACATGACAGATAATGTGTGAAACAGATCTGGTTCAGCTGCTGTTTATCTGTTAGTTTCTATGTTTGCTGTGAGCTGTTGACCTGTTTGGTCTGTTTCTGCTCCTCCATGATGTCACAGACACTACCAGTGGACGGGATGGGTGGGACTCAGTCTAGTGTTCTTATTCAAGTCTACGGCTGCCAGTAGAAACAGCGCCCCCTGTGGGGACCCCAGGACAGGATGACGAGGGTCTTACTTTGAGCTCCCGGTGAGCCTGCGCCCTCCTGTACAGAGCCTTCACGTTGCTGCCGTCCATCCTCAGAGCCTCGGTGCAGTCTCTGACGGCATCCTTGTACTGCTTCACTGACAGGTAGCACAGCGCCCTGAAGGCACACAGACAACAGTCCTGCTGTAAAACCACACACCTGTGGAAGAGCGGGAACACACGGAGGCTTTGGGCTCACCGGTTGGTGTACGTCGTCACCTCGCTGGGGTTGTGCTTCAGGCTCTGGCTGTACTTCTCGATGGCCTTCTTGTGCTCTCCTTTCTTCACCAGAGAGTTGCCTTCTTCCTTCAGAGCCTGAGCTTTCTTTATGTCTTTGTCACTCGGAGCTGATGGGGAGGAAGCAAAAGGAAAAATAAAAACATAAATGTGCAGAAACTGTTAATTAAACTGTTGTTGTTGACTGTTAATGAATCTTCTTACACCAGAGTTAGTCATGGAGTTCCTCAGGGTTCAGTGCTTGGACCAATCCTCTTTACTTTGCTTCCATTAGGTAAAGTTATTAAACAGCATGGGACAAATTTCCATTGTTATGCTGATGATACTTAGTTATATTTATCCATGAAACCTGATGAATCCAACCAGTTACTTAAACTACAAGCATCTTACAGACATTAATCATGGATGACTCTTTTCTGCTTCTAAACTCAGATAAGACAGAGGTTATGGTTTTTGGACCTGAACATTTTAGGGATCAACTTTGTAGCCTTTCAGCTCCTCTGGATGGCATTAATCTGGCCTCAGTTCTAATGTAAAGAACCTTGGTGTTATTTTTGATCAGGACATGTCTTTTAACCCCCCACATTAAAAATGTTACC